GCGATTGCCTATCCTCTGGCTGCAACACCCCTGAATATCCAGGCAGGCTTCAGGGTAGTGGCAGTGCATCCATAAAACAGGGATGTATTTCCAGAAAATGACTTTCTGCCATCCTATGTCACAGATCGCCCTATCCTAGCCCCAGCCGCGCCCCAGCCCCAGCCCAGCAACCCAGCCTCTCCAGGCCCCAGCTCGCCAGCTGAAACGCAGCATCACCAAACCCCAGCTCAAACCTAGCCTCATCAGGCCCCAACAGAATTCTCCCAAGCCTAGAAGATATCCAGCCCTATCCCAAAGCTGCCCCTAGAAAAATATCTCATCATAGGAGAAGAGTAATTCTCACTGATACACTTTCCAGCATCTGTAAAGTCGAAATGTGTAGCGAAAAAAAGGAAACTTGCAGATGAATCATCAGATGATGAAGAGATCTTCTGTCTGGTCTTTGTTGAGCCATTCTCAAACAGCCGCTCAAAAGAGAGATGGATGAAGTGTATCCGTTGAAACAAATGAGCACATGAGGCTTGTACTTCTGGGTTCACAAATTATTTGTGACAGAACTGTGACTCTGCCGATGACTCGGACTAGACACTGTTACGTCACTGAAAATATGTATTTAGTTAGTCAGTTTGGTTCATATTGCAATTGGTGTTGAATCAGAATTTAAAGAATAGTTAAAAAACAGAGACATAGTTCAAGATGAATTTGTTTGTGTTTAGGCTATTTGTAGTTTGTTAGGTGTTTTGTTCTGCATCGACTTATCAATCTGTTTTTCTCAATGTAGTTTTTGTTCTGTACTATTTGTTCAATTCATTATTCATTTACTGGCTTACATCTGTTGTTCCTATTTTTTATGCACTGTGAAGCCCTGGTATTGAAAACAGCTGTTTCAATAATCAGACTTTGAAATGCAATTATAAGTGTGATTGTTAGTACGAATTTTCATGAAATTCATTAATCTTGGTAACTTCGTGAAATGTATTATTCAAGTCTGCCTACCACGTGTTAACACTCCTACCTTTAGGTGTCTGAAGCTGTAACCGTATATGAGCGAAGCACCTAAGTAGTAGCAGATCTATATATGGAGAGGAGCCAACTATATGTTGTCAGCAACTGTTTGCTAGACAGAGAGTCTACATCTGATACGTATACAAATCAGTGTCATGTCATCTTTATTGTTTTATGGTAATGCACCCAAATAGAAAGGAATTTGTGGGTTGCACCTTTTTGACAGAATATAAGCAGCACTGTGAACACTGTTACTTTGTCAGCACTTTGTCAGTCAAGTGATTTGGAAGCATGCTTGTTTGATGAAGTTGTCTGACCTCGGCCGATTAAATGGTGTTATAATCTCCAGTCTGTTTCACGATTTCTTCATTGGATTTATACAAACAGAAACAACCCCCACCTAACAGTGATATATGTTCTTATTTGATGAAAAATATAATGTGACAATTTACCCCGCATAGTGTGATGGGGCAACTCGTCACTAATGCACACTGTACTTTATCATGTACAATTATTCAATATTTAAAGAGCCCATATTATGCCCTTTTTGGGGTTCATATATTTAATCTATGTTCCTACTTTTGTACGTTCACAATAGCTTAAGTCCGAAAAAAGTGTCTGTTTTCATGTACTGCTCCTCCTTGCTCCCTCTACGCCTGAGTCCGTCAGCTACGCTCTGCTGAGCCCACACTGACACTGACACTGCACTGACAAATCTTTATCGAGGGGGGCTAGAACCGAGCGTTACATGCAGTTAATGCTACAGCTAACAGGAGGAGGTAAGAGAAGCCGTGTTTCCGCGGACTTTGAATTTTTGCACATAGATGTGCCTAAACATGCACAGGACACATGGAAAACACACTAAAGAGCATATAAAACCAGAAAAAGCATAATATGGGCCCTTTAAGTGACAAGTGAAAATCTCTCTCTCTCTCTCTCTCTCTCTCTCTCTCTCTCTATATATATATATATACATTACACATTTGCGCACAATAAATTAATATTTAATTGGATATAGAAATTGAGTGACTGTGATATACTTAGACCAAGAATTTTAGGTGAAAGCAAAAAGTGTGACAAGATACCCCAATCTCCCTAATGTTTATATTAGATAACTTCTTTTGGTCCAGGTCAAATTTGACCCGAGCCAGGATTTCCCTCATAGAAAGGTTTACATCAAATTTTGAACTACACATCTACACAAGAATACATAAATAGCCTATCTGACATTAATTAATGATAAATCATTACTAAATGTTTCATAGAGCAGGGAAAGAGCGTTTTGTAGGTTTTGCGCCACTCATTTTTGGAGAAGAACATCTTCTTTCACACAATATCATGTGCTGTCTGTCCTGAGACATGAAAACACAACAGCCATAATGATATAAATATATTTTATTAAAAGTGAAAATGGCAAGAACAGTCTGGAACGGTTGGGTTTTAAAATATAGGCCTATAAGTATGTATAAAATTACAACCGTTATGATGAGTACCCCTTGAACTCTGTCACTACTGTCCCATAAAAAACACACACAGACAAGGTACATAAACCCGACAGATTGTTCATTCTTCTCAATTCTTCTCAACAAGAACCTTTTTGTTGTCATTTTTTTAATTTTATTTTTTTTACTTATAACTGTCAATGCATGTCTACCTTTTAGCTCTTTATATCTTGAAATAAGATTTTATCTGGACTTGACAGATGAATGTGGCTTTAAATAAGTTTAATCAGATATTTTTTTGACAACAAATAAGACAAATTTGCTTAGATTTGAGGCTCTGCAGTGCATTTCCACCCTTTTGATACAGGTCAAATTTGACCTCGAACAGCCTCAATTTACAACCATGTATAGCACCAGTCCTGTCCTATCTACATATCCAGAGGTCAGAGTGTTCAGTGTGCCTTGATTTCCTGAAGTCCACTGTCATATCCTGTTTTTGTTGTGTTTAAGTCTAGGTTGTTATGAACACCACTGCACCAGATGTTGTACATCCTCTTTGTAGACTGTCTTGTTGTTATTTGTTGTCAGTCCTACTATGGTGATGTCATCTGCAAACTTGACGATGGTGTTGAAGTGATCGGGGGAGCAGAGATAGGGGCTGGGCACCCCTGGGTGCTCTTGTGTTCAGGACCAGAGTGGACGAGGTGTGGTCTCCCATCCTGGCACTTTGCAGACTGTTATTCAGAAAGTCTGGTATCCAAATATGCTGGGTACCTGCCAGGTTGCTCCTTTTTTAAACTATTTTTTAAACTATTTTTAAACTAGTAAGGAATGATGGTATTGAACACAGAAGTAAAATCAACACACTGCATCCTTACATAATGTGAAAACATGAAGAGTTATGTGTCTGATTGCACCACCATCTTGTATATGCATGATATCCAGAAGATGCAAAGATTACGTACCTCACCTGGCCTTGGGACATTTCAGGACCCTCCAGGAGGAGCTGGGGAATGTACTGGGAGGAGGAACACTGGACTCATTTAGCCTGCTAACAGAGGGATTTAACCAAAAGAATGTTAAAAAGGAAGGACGATTACATTCTACTTTGTGGTGGCTCTATTTGTTCAAATGATGTTGAACTACTCCCAATGCCTTTGACCTGATGCAGCTCATCTTTACAGGGAATGTCACAGGCTTTTTTCACTCCACAAGAAACAGCTTACTTCCTCGTGTACTTTTTTTTCTTTATGTCTGATTCATAGAACAAAATATATTTTATACCCACTTTTATGGAACCAACCAAGCATTATATGAAACGTTAACGGTCTTTGTTTGGAAACAGATATTACTAAAGATATGAAAACAAGGCCACAAATCGTCACTCTCTTTTAGGACTGAAATGTCATTTAGTTTTTTATTTTTCCTGTCTGTCTGTCTGATGTTTTTTTTTTTTTCATTATCAATAAAGTTAGTGTCCAATCCCTTTAACAACCAAACCTCTGTGAAGAATCAGAATCGGGTTTCATTGCCAAGTACATTTACACATACAAGGAATTTGACTTGGTGTATTGGTGCTAAACAATTAATAAGGAAATAAAGCAGAACTAGCAACAACTTAAATAATACAGTATAAGAAGCTATTACAATATATAAAATAGAATTTAGCGAAGGTAGTGTCAGTTAATATAAAGAAGAATAAGTCACAGGTGAGTTGACCATTTTGTACTTAACAGGGATTCTTCAGTCATTTATTTTTTCACCTCATTTTAACCCTTGAGGTACAAATCAATATCTAAACAAGATTCAATCTCATATTCTGTTATTGTGATCCTAAATTAATTCAGGGTTGGTTCATACTGCCGTGAACAAACATTTATTTTCTCCCTTGAAGACAAAGATAAACCAGAAACCTACACATGAGCTGTCAGATCATCTCCGCGAAATTAGTCATAGTGAAGAGAGAAATGGACAGGACAGAGATAGAGGCAAAAAAAAACAGAATACTAATCTCTCTGAGTTATGAGAGAATAATTTTGTGCAGAGAAATAAAGCTCACAGACACATAAAATACTCTGCTGATATAGGCGTAATGTGTTTCTTTTCTCAAAGAAAGCATTTTAAAAAAAGATTTTCAACAGAACAAATGTAAAACAATCAATAAAAATACTCTTCAGTGTCACAATAGGCTATGTCCATCTCACCAACCACACCAAATAGTGGGGGAAAATGAATGAAAATATCAGCAACAACAATATTGAGAGATACAGATGTGAAATGTGGTAATGTAGCCAACAGAGTCAGGTGGGAAAGATAAAAAGAAGTTAAAATTTGGGGTGAAAAAAAACGTAACTGTCTAGCCTAAAAAAAAACAAATGAATACATTTAGTTTTATTCAATTAATAAATCACAGATATTTAAAAACAAATAGATGAAAAAAATGATTTTAAACAGAGGTTTTTATATTGATAGCAGCCTATTCCATCTGTCACCAGCAGAGGGCGATAGAGGACAGATGGTGACCAGTGAACACAACCTGGGCTAAAAGTGAAACTAAAAACACTCTGTGGACGGGACAGGGACACGGCGGGCGGCTGCAGACGGAGAAAAACTCTGAAAATATGGCGGTAAGGTTCAAATGTTAACACTTTATTAAGAGCGGAAACAGACGAATTAACGGAGAGTGAGAGAGCAGGGTGTGTTTTTTAACGGGTGCAGCAAGATGATCGGTTAAATCGGTTCATTATTATCGATTATCTTAGTTTTCTTCTGACCGACGCTGCTGAGTTCATCTCACATCTCACAGAGACAAATTGATCCGAATAGGCAAACTAAACCATCCTACAGAAACATGTTTGATTGTCAGAGGGTAGAAAGTTAAGCTGATGTGTACACTTTGGTTGCTATGTTACGGTTGAAGGGGTGACGGCTAAAACTGGCGACTTTTAGGCAAGGCAAGTTTATTTCTATAGCACATCTCAACAACAAGCCAATTGTTAACCGGAAGTGTCAGTGGTTGTCCTAGTTACAGCAAGTGTGTGGCGTTAAGTGCCCCAGAAAGCCCCTTTGTTTAGAAGAACCAATCAAATATAGGCCAATGTCTTTCATGAAAACTTAACAAGGAGGCATTCGTTAACATTTCAGGAATCATGTAATGTTTAAATTCTCCTGTTGATGAAGATCTGAGAAGGCTGTAATGTTGCTGTGACTGCCAGACCCAGACGAGAGAAGTAGGCCTTCATCTTGGGGGACAGCAGTGAAACCTGGGATGGGTTTGTGGGCTAGAACCACTGTCATTCATTTTGACAGCAGGTTGTCCATATGACGTGTAATTGTTGAGTTTCTCCTCCGCATTGTTGTATGTCTGTTCTGCTGTGTTTTGGATGTGTGTGAAAGATTGGTGGGACACAACCCCTTCATGATATGTACCAGGAAAACTAAAGTACTCTCGCTACTGATGTGATTTCTTTATTGTACATGTCAAGGGGTCATTCATGGTTTAACAAAATACTATGAGTGGCTTGTCAAATCTTACATAGGCCTACATACACACTGGCTGACTTGAAGAGAAAAAGCGGCACGGAGGTTCTTTCTCTGGGCGAACATGTCGATGACATCAGGGATGAAGTCCTGTAACTGCTGAATCAGCTTTCTTTCTACGGAGAGGATGGCCAAAGCGTTGAGTCGTGGCTGTCCCATTGTGTTGCGGGTGAAAGTTTTTATTCCCTCCAGGGTGGAAAAGTTCATCTGACTCAGATGTTGTCATTGGTGTTGTTATAACACTTTTCAGCAGAGTGACTGTCTCAACAACTGACTGAAGTCGTTCTTGTCATGATTTGATTTCTTATTTTCAGAGTTTAGGTTTTCTTGTTGTTTTTAGTTCTCATTCTTGTCTGATGGTGTTGTTTCCCTTGTGTGTTTTCTAGGTTAGTGTTTCATGTGTTATTTTTGTAACTTCATATCCTAGTGTTTCTTTATGTTCTAGTGTGTTTTGTTTCATTCTTGAGTTCTGTGTGTCTTCAGTGTTTCATGTATTTTATTTTGTAGTTGTCCTCAGTGTTGTGTCCAGTCCTTCCTCTGTGTGTTTCCCTCCAGTGTTGATTGCCCTGATTGTCTTCACCTGTGTCATTAGTCTCACTGTGATGTGTTTGATTACCCCTGTGTCTGTTTAGTCTCTGTGTTTCTTCCCTTCTGTGTCAGTTCATTCTGTTACGGATGGTTAGAAAACAAGGGAGGTGGACCCAAGTGCAGAAACCAAAAATATTTAATAAAACAAGAAGGCCAAAGGCAACGAAACTTAACTTCAAAAGGTCAACAAAAATCACAGGGATCAAAAACAGGGAGCCACAGAGGAGCACGAGCAAAACTGACACTCCAACAAGATACAAGAATGTAAAAAAATGTCTCCTCAAAAAGCCTCACAGATGAATGCCTGGACAAATTTGTCAGCAAAGCACCAGCATTTGGAACATAAGCCCTATTCGCATGGGACTAGTATTACCTGGGGACCTCGTGATTTAGAAATTACCCCACCACGTCTGTGTTTCGTGCGGTGCATTCGCACGGGATAAGCGAAGTCTGTGTTTTATCTTGAATTTACTGACATTATCCACCGGATATGATGTCAAGTGTTAACCTTTCCTGCTTCGGCATTCTGACCGTGGTATCAGATGCTGACTAGTTTCTCTGCGCTGATTCTACTCCCGTCCCCGACATCAGTAACGTGCCTCTCGCACACACCTGCTGTGTAGCTAGATGAGCCTCCTGAATGTGAACCCAAAATGCTGTCAAAACTTTTATTTATAAATGCCAACGAAGCCTGCATAATTCTGGACCGGGAAAAGGCTTTTTTTTTGCAGAGAACACAAAAAAAGCTTAAGAAAAAACAAAAAACTACCCCAAATCACCGAGATGCTGATTCGCACGGGACTAATATTATCACATAACCTCTGTGTTTAGCGAAATATGGAAGGTAATTTGCAGTGGAATTTTGACTTTACAAATTACGGACATGGCAGATTCGCACAGGATTAAGATCACAGACGACCTCCACATTTATTACAAATTACTAGAGGTCCCCAGGTAATACTAGTCCCGTGCGAATAAGTCTTTTGACAAATACAAGCGCTGTGGGAAGTGGCAGGCTTTACAGTACAATGCATCCTTTGCTTGACTATACTCCAGCCATTTGAATTGGATACCACTGCACTGGAAAGCAGCATGACATACCTGATATGTTCGTTACAGGAAAATACAGAAGGTTAGGGTGAGTTGGTGGTTCGTCTATCACTGACAAGTCTGTGGGTGGCATAGCTGCACTTTGGCGGGCCCCAGTGGGAGTTAAGTTTTTAGCCGGCATCTCGTCTGGGCTAGCTTGGCGCCAAATTGAACAATGTACTGTAGTGTTAACCTCCACTGTAATCGGCAGTGTTCTGTCTGCTACTGGTAAAATCCTCGTACCTTTTTTAAATGTGAAAAAACCGAGGACTGCTTTGCCATCTTGGCCAGAAGCTATATTCTATTCGACTTTACGTTAACTGTCGGAGACATTTGACGTTCAATTTTGGCGCTTTTTTCACAGCCATTTTTTTTTTTGTGATAAAAATTGTTTATTGATTTTATGTAAACATATCAGACATCGAAAAGACACACATACAGCAGCTGTTTTTTTTAAAAATTACATTTATTTAATTTTTGTTTTTTTGGGTTTTTTGGCAAGTATGAGATGATTTCTTGATGGGTAGGCCTGGGTCATTTTGGGTAGGCATAAGCATAGCATGGCCTACCCGTGCCTACCCCACTGTTACACACAAATCGTAACGACAACAACACAAAGGTACAGCTACAGAAAACAGAACACACATCACAATCATACATTAAAAGCTTGTTTGAAGAGGTGATTTTTGATCAGTGATTTGAATTTGGAAAGGTCAGTGCAGTGTTGAATGTGTGTAGGGAGTGAGTTCCAGATGAACAGGGCAGCTATGGAGAAGGCTCTGTCCCCCCAAGTTCGGTGCGTGGTTCTGTGGGGGAGAAAGGAGGTTTGCTTTTGAAGAACGGAGGCTGCGTGCACGAGTGTGAGGGTGAAGGAGAGCTGTGAGGTAGGAGGGGGCCTGGTGGTTATGGTCTCCTCTTCTGTGTGAGGAGAAGGATTTTGAATTGAATACGGTACGGGAGCCAGTGCTAACCGGTCAAGCAGCTTGTTTGGTGCAAACTGGTTCTGTCTGTCACCCGATCCCTCTGGGCTGTTTAGGCTGAAACAGAACATATGCTGTATCACCATTCTACTTTATCCCAGCTATTGTTTGGATAATACTTGTGCTTATTGACAGGATTATTAACACTTAGAGTATTAACAGCAGCTCATACCCACTTCAACCTTTTTTACACTTCAATAGACAACAAATATAAAGTTCACGGCTAACCATAACCGCCAATATGTCTATAGGCGCGCTCTTTTTTCTGAAGCCTAACCGTTATCTTCGCCAACGTCATTTACCTTGAGCAGTTTATTTCCCCATAACATTAGCCAAGCAGACATGTGATGTTAATAAAATGCCTATTACCAACATACTATTTATTCACTCACCTCAATATTCAAAGGACTTGCAGCTGCTGTGACTGTCCTCCTGTTGTTGGCACCGGGAGAGCAACGTATAGCACTGCATCAGGATTTAGCTTGGCCAATTTAGAAAAACCCAGTTCCATTTCCATGATGTTGGAATCTTTGGAGAAGTGACGGTTGCACGACCAAGCTGTAGGCGGGAGATCACGATCTGGTAGCCCCAAAGCAAGCAGCCACTGGTGCCTAATTTCCAGGTCCGCTGTGCAACCCTACTGCAGCCAGGGCAGAAACTGCCGACCCATCCTGACCACTATTTAATAAATACTCTAAAAACTAAATGCTAAATCAAACAATTAACTAAGTTTACTAAAAGTCACTGTGCTAAACTATGAGCTAAAGCTAACCTACGATTAAAGCTAAGCCACTAGCTAACTAATATTGAAAAGAGCTAACAACCAGTCTACTGCCTACAACCTCCAACTAACTTTGTAAATACTATAAACTCACATCTCTAAAATCTACACTAAATTAATCTATACTAACAGCACAATCCAACTACTAAACTACTAAAGTTATTGACCTCGCAGCTCTCGCAATCCACTTGACTCCCGACAGTTTGCCGCGTCAAGTGACGAGGCTTTTATAGGTTTGGTGACGTAGGCATGTACTCCACAGCAGTTAGAATTTTTCAACCGGTAGAGGGCAGTCACTATGCACATTTCTAACACAATATTTCCAATTTCAATACTTTGTACTCAAATGTCGAGATTTGGACTTGCATTGATCCATAACACTACTTAATACTCAAATACAGAGGTTTATAGCTGTTTTGGGGTTTAGTTACCCTTTAAATGCTGCCAGTATCTCTACTATACAATAATACACAGTTAAAATGTCGACTCAGGGCGCACTCACACTAACAAAATTGTCCTGTACCGTGCTTAAACCCCGCTGGCCTGCACACACACTGCTTCAGGACTAACCGTGCCTGAGCCATTTATCTCTTGTACCATATTGACCCCAATATCCCCGAACAGACATACCCCTAATATAAATATTCAGGGTTGAGACATTTAAACAGCAATATACATCCACAACAGCAGGTGGCGCCAAATCCCCATAACCTGAATGTGCCCCTCATGACTGGAGGAGCTGTCAATCAAAACTCACAACAGTGACAGTTCGCCTGACTGATGGAGAGACACAGTGACCGTCCGGAACAAAGCGGCTCAAAAGTGGGGCAAATGAACAAACGGATGAGAAGAGGTGTTGATGCTAACTTTAAGATGATGGTGATGCAGAGTCGTCAGATTCCAGGTTCACACCTCGAAATTCTATCAAATAGTGCTACTACCAATCAAGATGTTCTGCCAAGCGCCTCTGTGCAGCACAGAGAGCATTATTTGACGGTACATTTGTAATAACCACATCTGTGATTGAAATTTTGTGCTTTGACTTGTGTTAACAACACCGGAGAACGCCTTTTTTCAGCTCCCCGTGAGCCGGCGATTGTCGAGCCCGTGAGTGTTATGATTCGCTTTAACAGCTCCTAAATACAAAGCACCACAAATCAGTTTGTCTGCCTCCAATACAAAAGCACTAGACGTCATAGTGTTTGCAAGGGGAAACCGAAATCACAGAGCAAAGAATTATATATTTAATTTGTCTAGCCCCAATTGATAACAAACATTTTCTCAAGACACTTTACAAAAAGAGCAGGATTAGATTTTTACTGTCTGGAAATCTTAATACCATTTCAGTCACTTACCATATAGCTTCCTGGGAGCGTGTCTAGTAGGTTGTCCCTTGTCTAGTAGGTTCCTGTTGGGGACGGCCTCCTGCCCCACTAGAGGAAGCATATGACATATGTTACAAAGTCACACTAACTACTTGCCTGGCATGTATACTACGGTGTTTTTAGTAATTTCTGTGGATATTTGTGCATGACAGTTGTTATGAAAATGTTCTCTTCTGAGCGCAGAACTTTTTGAAAACGTAAAAGAAAAATAATTCTGTTTTCAGAGGATTTTTTTAACTGTGACCTTATTCCTGTTTAATCTGAAACACTGGATTTCTTGAGTCCTTGTTTCAGCCCTTTCTAATGTTCAAAGTTTTGTCCATGTGTCTGAATATAGCTGCAGTAAGAGTCTCATAAGCTTGATGTTTATTGGTGATATCTAACTCCAACTTTCTCGCTTCAGTTCATCACAGACGTTTCGCTCCTCATCGAAGAAGCAGCTTTTGAAGATCCTCTCAGATTAAAGAAGGCTCTTCAGCCTTACTCACCTGAGAGGAAAGGTTACTACTACAAAGTGACAGGAACATTTGATCAGATGTTGAACCTTTCAGCGGGACTGTCTGCAGTGAGGGATCAATTCAGTCCTGGATCACATAGGCCGACTGATCAGGAGGAGCGTCCTTCAGCTCAGCTCAGGTCGGTGGAAGTGTCCCGGGCTGTCATGGACTACATGGGCCAAAGGTGTGCAGAACAGCTGAAGAAAATCACGGGGGACAGTTTCATCATGGAAAAACGGCCTCATGCATCCAGCAGCTCAGTGTGGGTCACGTTCAAACCCCGCAATGTCTCCACCCCTCCGGTTCGCATCGACTTTATCAGACAGAGATTCATCAGCCTCTACCAGAGGACAGCCTCTGACCTGCAAACCACCTCAGTGAGTCAACGTTATGCAAGACACCTGCAGGCAGGATTCCCACAGCTCCTGTTTACAGAAAAAACAGAACACAGCACACAGAAAGTGACTGTGACTGGGCATTTTGTGCATATCGCCCATCTCAAGGAGTATCTTTCAAAAAAGACAGCCAGCTCGAGCCAGAGTCCAGAGAACAAATGGTCATCAGAGACCAAACATCCATCAGAGACCAAACGTCCATCAGAGACCAAACGTCCATCAGAGACCAGAAGTCCATCAGAGACCAAACATCCATCAGAGACCAAACGTCCATCAGAGACCAAACGTCCATCAGGGACCAAACATCCATCAGAGACAACAAGCAGGAGAGAGTTAGGTCCTTCACCTGAACTCAGCAAAAACCTTGAAGAACAAGAACCCTGTCCGATCTGTATGGAGTCCATAAAAAGTTCAGAAAAAGTGTCTCTAAAGTGCAAACACTCATTCTGCAGAGACTGTCTGAAAAAAGCCTTCACCTATAAACCCATATGTCCCACATGTGGAGCATTGTACGGCGTTTTGACAGGAACTCAACCTGATGGAGGAACCATGAAGGTAACCACGGCCCCTTCATCCCTGCCTGGGTACGAGAGCTACGGGACAGTCATCATCAACTATTACATCCCCAGTGGCATCCAAAACGTACGACCAAAATCACAAAACTCTTTGTTTCTATTTGTTCATCATATAGTTCATCATATATATTTTTTTAAATCTCAATTAAAAAGTATTTTTCAAAATAGTTTGATCTCAAAGTCCACTCATTAGCTTCCAGGTGGATGTCCCAGTTTTCATCGCAGCAGAGTAAAATATGTACCATCAAAAGTGTCCCTGTGAGACACTTAAAGAGGAACTATGTGGTTTCTTTTGAAACCTGGGACCTTTTTATTCAGAAACAGACATTACATCCCTTTCCTCAAACTCACCAGCCACCAATAATAATAAAAAAAAATGTACAGATGCAAAGATGTCAATTTAGTTGGCCAATTCTAATTTATGTCTTTAAAGCACTTTAATTAGCAGCAAAAAAAACAACTTCTTTTCTTTTTATATAAATAGAAATGCTGGTTGAGTATTTTGCAAAAACTTGTAAAAGTGTAATGGTAAATATGAGCTCTGAAATGGAAAAATAAATTAAGTCCATACATTATATTTGTCCGAGATAATTACCCTTCTTTTTCAGATCGTTTTCTCTCTTTTTTTCATCGTGTGTTCAGAAGGAGCATCCGAACCCTGGGCAACCGTATGAAGGCGTATACCGCACAGCGTACCTGCCAGACAGCACTGAGGGCAGACACATTCTTAAGCTCCTGCAACGAGCCTTCAGTCAGAGGCTCATCTTCACCGTCGGTCGATCCACGACCAGCGGCAGGAACAACGTGGTCACGTGGAACGACATTCACCACAAAACGTCCACATGCGGAGGACCGACGAAGTAAGGAAACATCAGACGTTGTTTGTGCGTTCTGTGTCACGTTATATTTCCTCGAGGCTGAAACATCCATTCTGTATTTAACCCTCAGTTCTCTCCAGTACGCTACGTCAGTGTTTTGCTTATTGTTCTATCATTTCTTGAAGTATCTTCAGATGCTTCATATCTCTAGACTCAAGCTTGTGAAAGTCAATCAGCCATTATAATTGGTATTCAAATTCTCATTAGTAAAATGGTTATTTGAACTCTAGACATTTTTAAGTTTAAAAAATATATATATTCTAATTTTTATGAGCAGAGTGTAAAGCTGTTACATCTTTTACGGAAATATAGTGTTGACAGGTATTTCTGCTTATTGTGATAAGTGTGTGGTTTCACACTAGGGACTCGGGCCCAGATCAGAGTATGCTTGACCCCAAATTCCGGTTCATTTGATCAGTGTGAACACAAACATACCGTACTCAGGTACCGTGCTCGAGTCCGCTTGAAGAGGTGGTCTTTGGCACAAGACACGTGCACCCGGGTAAGGTCGGGTAATTCTGACGTAATTCTGAACGGCTTCTGACGCTTCGAAAACAGTTGTATCTGCGCAGCACGAGCCTGTTTCATCCTCTAAGCTGCTCGGTAGATGTGGAAGTTGTAAGAGGGTCGTTGTTGGCGTCTCAGAAATAACTTTGACATCCACAGTTAGCAGGACGGACTCAGTCCTTGAGTGGTTGCCATGGTTGCTTCTTTTTCTTTTTGCTTCTTGGCAGATGTGAAAACCAAATATGTGCATATTCCTACCTGCTGTATCTGTATCTGGTACGGAACGATGTTACTAATGTGGAACGATGTTACTAATGTGAACATGGACCAGAGGGGGAGAGGGGAGGGGGAGCAATAGAGCTCAGGTAATTTAATATTTGATCAAAACAGGATTATGTAATCAAAGCTCTCCCACAGCCTGATCACACCTGCAGCGTTTTCTTTTCACATCATGGCGTTTAATGACAGGAGAAGCGTATTCATGCAACAACATCTGATTTGAATAGGATTTTTGTCGACAGTTTATCATTAACGCACACTAAAATTATAACTGTATGTTTTTCATAGTGACCGTCACACTGATCATGAGTCAAACTGAGTTTGTGTCTTTGTGTTTGCAGTTATGGATATCCAGATCCAGATTATCTCAGCAGAGTCCGAGATGAACTGAGCGTCAAAGGGATTGAATGAGTGACTGTGAGGTTTGTGAACACATGAATAAGGAGCTCAGATATACTCATGTATTAGAGGTCACATATTATATTATATTATTATATTATATTATGAAAAAGACACTTAAAAGGATACTTCACCCGTTGAAACATGAATCTGTATTGACATTGGGTCAATTGTCGGTTCTCCATAGAGCCTGTTAGGATAGCTAACAAGCAATATGGCGGATGTTAAGTTTTGATTCTGGGAGTGAGGCCCCACCCACTGATCTGTGATTGGTCTGTAGCTTCAGTGGTCGAAAATATGAGGAACTAGCGATGTAGTTTCACCCGTGCTAACCACAACAGCCGCTGATCGGAGGCTCCTTTTGCAGACAAGAAATACAAAGATTTCCCGTCTCAGGGGACAATGAGGGCGGGATGCACGACCATTCAAAAATACTACCAGGTTTCTAATGATACAAAGATTAATTCAAATGGGTGAAGTATCCCTTTAACCATGTTTTTCTTACATAAATGTGTCCCTAGCTTGTCTTCAAACCCCCCAATTATGAGAAAAGTCCATCCTCTCTGTCTTTTGCCTGCTACACTTTTAAGAAAATGTGTGCTCAAACAGGCCATTTGGATATTTTACCATTGTGACATCACAAAGGGCAGTAACCCCTCCCCCAGGTGTGTGACACTCCCGCAGCTAGGTGTTTGTCCTGCCCTCTAAGTCTGCCTTCTCACTGTTAACAATAGGACATGGAGCGAGAAAGCCTGAGCCACCCAAGTCCTTCCAGAGGGGCGTGGTCAGATACAGCTCATTTACATTTAAAGGTACAGACACAGAAACAGCCTGTTCTGATAAGGGCTGAAATAGAGGGGTTCATAAACATGTGGATTTATAACAAGAAACTTCAGAGACATGTTTGGGGAGCTCTGAGACATATTTATACTGAATAGGAGGATAATATGTGACCTTTAATACATGTTTTTATCATATAAAGCGCCAAGTGAAGAAAAACACAATGATATTTTTTCCTGGAATATAATCACTCAAACGTGCTTAAGAGTTCTCTCAAGTGATTGAGATCCAACTGCCGTGTCGTGACATGTTTCCTGTGGAAACAGGATAGGACCAATCACATGATAGAACGACATAAAGTTTGGATGAATTTGATTGGATCATTGGCTTCGACAAAGGTTTTTTATTGGTCCAAAAAATAAATAAACACCCCTGAGTCAAGGATAAATCGTCAGACATTTTAAATGATTCACAGGAAGAGAAAAAAAAAGTTATTTATATGTAAAAATGATGGTTGTATTACAGAAGTGGAAACATTCACTCCTATGAAAGCTGTTAAGTGAAGTATGAAGCAAAAAAAAGTCTGGCTCTTCCATGTTACTTGGCCCATTTGAGTGTTTGTATTGGGAAGTCCATGTACCTCAAAAAATGTATTCTGTGATTTATAGACTTCTCTTCTCCAATTTAAGCTTATGGGAAAAAGTCTTTTTGGGCCCAATAGCATTATGTGACGTTGTACTACCAGGTTAGGCCACCATATAAATAGTTGGCACACTTCCTGGGGGCATGGTAAAAATATAAGATAATTGAAATATATATTACATTTAATATAGGAATGTTGGATATAAATGGGAAAATGTATTTTTAATTGAATGGGGACTGTAAAAAACAAATATCTTCTTCTTCTAACAGTTGCTGAATGAGGCCCAATGCTTTTAAAAACACCTCTTTCCAACCTTATATTCATCAATATCTGGGCAGCTTACATTGGCTACTGTATGCTCAGCCGGCCTTTAATGGAGGGAGCAAGTACAATACTGAAAAAACAATAATGTTAAATGATATCATACTGTATAAGTGAGGCGTCAACAAAATTACTCATCAACAGTTAGTTTGGGAAAATATGTTTTCCCATAATTTAGAGGGTTATTCAGTGGTAAAAAAATATACTTGTCTCTTATACAGTGTACGGTTGAAAAAACTCCACACACATACCAGTGTCTTGTTGAAATGTTGTACGTCTAAGTTTGAGAAATGTGTTTATTACATCTTCATGGGGAATTCATGTCATTACCTTTTTTTACTTTGAACTTGTTGAAGATGTAATAAGTTTTCTCAAGATGTGTGATGTATGCACTATGCAGATAGTCCCTTCCCACGCAAGTCTCAGCCAGCTGTTTATAGCAGCTAGTGTATGTTATCCAGCACAAAGGAAGGCTCATAGTGATGAATATCAGGTTGTAGCTCTAAATCTAGTTTATTATGGTTGTAAAGACCAATGTTCCGCTGTTGCGCTAATGACCAAGGAGGGCTGAATCTGTGTATGTTTCTATCTTTCCTAAAGTCGGTTACTTGTTCACTTAGAGGCGAGGGTCCCCTCGCACTGAATTTCTGTCACTTGTATGAAAACCATTCTTACTGACGAGCACAGTTTTTTTGTCTTTATATTTGTTGTTCATTTTAAAATATATTTCAATGAATCTCTCCATGGTGTGTGTGCCTTCTTTCATTGTTGGTGTATATTCCACTGTGCCTATGAACTTAAGTAGGACGTCACTTCAAAGAAAACTTTTCGAGGTTTGGATCTCAAACCAGTTTCTCGGGATTATCCCCCCGAAAAAATTCTAACTGAAGAAAATTTAAAATCTGATTCCTGAGGTATAAAAATAGGCGTTTTCAGACTGGAACCCTCTTCCTTTTTTATTCATTCTTCACCACAGGAACAATGAACTATTTTAGTTCCCAGAACCCCGTTAAGAGGAACCTCTTCAGCGCCTGCTTCAGAGTAGACAGAAACAAGTCCCCATGGTGTATAGTTCTCAGAGAACTCTCTAGTGGATAGTTACTCTTCAAAAAGTCCCCAGGACTGTTTGGTCTAAAAACACCTAAGAAAGGAGGTTAAAAACATTTGTAGAAGAAAAAGAAGTATTGAGTTTTATTTCCCGTTGCTAAACAAACAACCTCACTCTGCTTCTTAGTGACACTCTTAGTATACATGCGCAAGTCTAGAGATGTAGTTGTTGTAATGGTTGTAGTTTAGTGTTGTATTTGTTCTTTGTGTTGTCCCTTGTTTTGTTTTTGTTGCTGTTGTTTTTTGTTTTTTGTTGTTTGTTTTGTCTTTAGTGTGTTGTCTTTGTAAATGTCGGTTTGGGACCCCCTTGAAAACGAGGTGAAACACCTCAAGGGGCTTATCCTAGTAAAATACAATTCAATACATTTTTCATATTTGTATTTATTTCAGTTCATTTCCAATAACTTTAAAAGCTTTGTCAGGAGAAATGTTTCTGGAACAATCTTCCCGTGTTGTTTATGTGGAATTAACTGAGACAGATTTTTTTATCTTTAGGTACAAAGGTGTTTGTACCTTTAAGGACCTGTCACATGTTAATGACATGAACTTTATTACACTCGTCATGTCACAGTACATAGTGTATTGGTTCTCCTCCTGCAGGAGTAGGTGCCAACAACCTAACAAAAGAAAAGAAACATAAAACAATAAAATATGAATAAATGATCCAAGTATTCTTTCTCAAATATTATTTATTTTATATGAAAATGGACGTTTGAAAAAAGACCTACATATATTTTAGACAAGAAGATAAGAGTAAGAATGACTAATGTGTGCGTAACTGATGCGTAATTTCACCTACCTTATCAAGGTTGTTGACACCTTTGCATCTGTTGGAGTCCTTTATTATGATGAGCTGTCTTCACTTTGTTGCTTACATCTGTACTGCAGTGTTTTGTGCTTAGGACCAATGTGTGGTCTTTGTGAAAGTGAAGGTGGAGGAGAAGACCGCTCTTCCTCTTGCCTGGAGCAAATCAGGGGGAAGTTCAGGCTTGTTTCTTGAATTTCACACACATAAGCCTGCAGTTTGTCTGTGTCCTAATCTTTCCAGTCTGGGACTGAGCGTCTCCCATGCAGGTTGGTCATGGCCACAATATGCTGCAGGATTTCGTCCGTCAGCATCAGAGCAAAACTGGACGTCGGGTCAGTGTTTCGGGCAGCAGCATAGTGTGTCAGTCCTGGGATCGAACCTAGCGGAGTGTCGCACTGGAAGTGGGAGACCAAATTATCTTCTGAGGCCTCCTCCGTTTCAGCCTCAGAGACCTCGGAGGAGGATGAGGAGACATCCTCGGACTCAGAGTGCACGATCTGTTCAAGAGCCTCCTGTGTGCTGAAATTGCCATCTTCAAAATGACTACTCCCGCACTACTACTCGTACTTATAACCAATAAGTTAAAAAACACACACATACGCACGCATGCACACAATGACACACACACAAACACACAATTATCCAACATCAATAGTGACACACACTTCTCATTTCAGTAGCAAGGCACCCTTGAAGAAACCAGTGAAAAGGTTGACATTTTGCTGCATGCTTTGAATTTGGAAAAGTGGCGCCATCTGGTGGACAAATGTAAATGTTACAAATTGAAAGCCATCAGTCCATGCAATCTTAACATAAAGGAATGCACAAGTTTGTTAAAATGAATATGTGGGATCAAAAATGCCATTGTCCATGGTTTTTCAATGGAGCACGTTTTGTCCAACAAATAACGTGGTTTTTGTTTAGCCATGTTAGGCTAATTTAAGGAACTGAGATGACAATTCTAAAAATATTTAATTAAAAATGAATATCCTCTGGCAATTGTGAGCTATATTGAATTAACACAGCCAAGATGGCTTGAAAATAAAAAAACTGAGTGGCATAAAATGTCCCTAGGAACTCTTGAGCAGGATGAGTTTGAATCTATCGACATGTATGAGCTAAACCGGAGTCCTCTCATTGGAATAATCAAAAACAAATTAAAATCAGGAGTAGGATTAGGCACTTCCAAGCTCTTGGTTTATTTTGAGGGTTAAAGAACGCCCACAGACGACAGGTCCCTTTATTTAGACAACACATATATAATTTCTCATGTTCACCCTGCAGTCTGACGGGATGAAGGTCACCTCGTCTTCCCGACTCATCGTCCCATCGTCTCGCTGCTACATACACGACCAGAGGAGGAAAATCAACGTCTGCAACAACATCAGTGATGTAAACAGAAGAAAAAGAAAACAGGTTTAACAAACAGAGGGGAATGAACAGCAGAAAAAATGAAGCTAACAGAAGAAGTGAATCATCCGGAAATCAGTCGAGGCAATCTGAAATTAAGAGCAGTGTGATAAAGGCTTCGTTAAATAAGAGACAGAGCAGCTGAAACATGGTCCATTTAAAGAAGCTGACAGTGAATCTGATACAAAAACACCCTCAAATAGACAAACGTGTGAAATGTGAGCTGGGTTCATTCCTCTGATCAGACTTTAAATCTGTTTGAATCAGATTTATTGGAGTATATACATTTCATGATTAATACGAGTGAACAAAAAAGCATCTCGGACACTTTGGGACATTTTTTCGTCCAAATTAAAATCTACTTCAGATCTGTGTGTCCAATACAGGGACAGGTCCTGAATATGTTTAGCCTAGCTTAGCATAAAGACTGGAAGCAGAGGGAAACTGTTAGCCTAGCTACATGAACATTGTTTGTAATATATCCTCAAAGTGCTCTGAATCTGTTTGGTTTATTAATGACATAATGAGAGCTAGCTGTGTTTGATGACAGAAGTCATTAGAGTTCTCTGCCTGCAAGACACAAGTTTGTTAACTTTTTTAAAAACCCTTATGATCAGATGGACATCACAAAAATATTCCAGTCGACTCCTTTTGTCACAGTTTGAAGCCACATCGCTGATGACTGAGTAGATATTTTACCTTAATGATTTTTAGTCAGCTGGTGACCCTGCTTCAGTCAGCGTCTTTACCGTTTCATTACGCCGGGAAGCACCAACCGTGTAGAAGTTCAAACGAAGCCTAGTGAGAACGTCATTTCAAATTTAGGACAGAGGTTATGCTCCAATGAAATTTAAGATGTTGCACCAGCTGAGATAGTCAATATGGTTGTCATGGTGATGGTTTGTAAAAGGTGTGATCATTTTGGATGGGTTGGAAGGGTTTTATCGGCTGTTTACTGTCAGCAGTGTGTTCCATTGACAGATTACATCCCTCAGAAATGTATCATGACTGATGATTTTATTCCTGCTTTAGTTCTCAATGAGCAGAGAGGATTTCATCTGTCCAATAACAGAGTACTGCTAAATTAGTTTATGTTGTAATTCATGATTTAACCACTAGATGTCACTGTTATTTGGCTCCAGTTGTAGATAAAGGTTGTAGGCTTTAGTTATCACCTAATTGTAATGCTTTTTTATATTTAACATTTAAGTTTCTGTTAATGGATTAAGGTCAGTTAACAAAAGTTATTTTAAGCCTTTAGTTAATGTTCAGAGACAATGAGACACGAGAAGAAACACACAAAAAAACCCTGCTTTAAGAAAAATGCTTTTCACTGATTGGCCACATTAAGTAATTTCTGCCACAATATTTTGGTTAGTTTGGACGTCACGCCCTGCTAATTAAGATCAGCCTTGCATCTCTGTAGTTCCCAAACTGTGACACAACTTAGGTTACAGACTATCTGGTCTTCATGTAGGGTTCAGTGTGGACATCACACAAATGTTGGTTTTGGAGAAGATAAAACCTCTAAGACTGAGGGTTCATTTAAAGACTCAGTGTGTAAAGTTTACAGCCTGCCATGCTGCTGATCCTGCAGCTCTGTTAACAATGGTGCAGGTAAAAACACACCAGTGCAACCATTCAGATGACATCTCGCTAGTTGATCGGGTCTTCTTCACTAGTGGATTTAAAGACCTGTTTTCGTAAGTGAGGGAGCCATGGAAGCAGTCTATCTGGCTCCAGTCCGTTTTACAAATCCAAACCTCTGCCTGTACTGGAGAACACTTTACATAACATTGAACTTAATGTGTGCAGAGAATTAAACGTTTTTAGTCCAAATAAAGTCAAGCAAGGAAAAGAAGAAAAATTAAAAGATCCTCATGATCGCATTATGCTCCTATAACCCTCAGATGATGTTATTTTAAAATCTCTTAATTCAAGTGGAAACTATTTTGTAGTTTTTCATGTAACAAACCCTTAAATGCCAGCCAGTGACTGGGTCTACCTTCCTTATGTTTGTTTCCTATAAATGACACGTCTTTAAATGTGTCTGGAGAATCACATTAAACCCGGACTAGGATTTGTTTGCTTTCACCAGCTAGCGAACTGAATTATCCTGAATTTATTTGAATCATGTTTCAGTCCGTTTGAAAGTATTCTCTCCTCTTTAGTTTTTTGTCTCCTGTTGCATCTGTTTTTTTAAACTGTCCTACATAATTAATGTCTCTATCTCACCGGCTGCAAAACAAATCTAACTACAGGTACAAATAAAGTCACGTGCACCTGAATGTAACCTGGTTAATGTTTAGACATGCACACATTTTTGAAGTGCTTCCAGGTTAAATATACTCCCAGTCTTAGTCCTCTACCAAAGATCATGTATCATTACCCAAACAAAATAATGACCATAAAATACATCAAGATGTGTTTTCATCATATCTGGTGTTTCATCAACCCTTCACGTGTTCGCAGAATTCACAAGACGGAATTATTCTGTGACTGTTTTTTACACAATGTCAGAAACAAAACTGTGACGTTCATTTTCTCTTTTTACTTTAAAGGTTTTCAAAACTCTGAAACAGATTTGACTTGGTGTGGAAGGTGTGTTCAGACCAAAAGCAATACCTGTGTAAATAATATTGTTAAATTCCAGTCTGTCTATCATCACCTGTTCTCTCTCTCTCTCTCTCTCTCTCTCTCAACGGAGTTCATCTCCCTCCTCCTCCATGAACTGTGTCTGGGTGAACATTCCTGCTTCTTGCAGCTACTTGAGGCTGGCCAGGTCCCAGTTCGAGGACCTGTAAGCTAGGATCAGTACCAGGATTTATCCGATGTACACCAGCAACCGGTTCAGCCGATAAGCTCCTGTTCTTCTGTCTATGAACCCAAAATGAACAGATTTTATTCTGATTTAATTACAATGAACAGGCTGAAAAGATGCTTAAGTAACTAAATCATTTTGAGAAAATGTATAAAGTCTCAATTCATGATTTTTCCCGTCTGACTGCACCACAATAAGCAAACGAGTTTTAAATGCTCAGTTTTTAAATGGAATTTGGATCAAGCATCTCTGAAGCAACATCAGGGCATTGTTTCATAAAACAGCGTCACATACATTTGTGGGTTTCAAAACTTTTCATTGACTTTTTGTTTTACAGCGGTCTACAAAAAAAACAACTTACTTTTGGTCTGAACACACCTTTTGTAACCGATGTCATAAAAATCAGCACATCATCTTCCCCAAACTTTGGGTTCTGCTAGCTTTGATTCACATCTTCACTTATCGTCCTGGTGACAAATGAATCGGGTCCCACAGAACTTCAAGCTAGGAGAGATGGTTTTCTGCTGTCAGCGCCCTCTCCTCACAGCCAGAAAATCCTCAGTTCAGATCCAGCAGGGGGGGCGTCCCTGTGATGAGTCTGGATTCTCTGCCTGCGATGGTCCAAGCACATGCAGGGTCAGTTGGAGCGGACTTTGCGCCCCAGTGTGTCAGCCTTGTTTAACAGGCGTCATGTCCGGGGTGAGCCCCTCCCCCTGGCCAGTCTACAGCCCTCGTGTCTCTAGATTAACAGGTTTGTAAAATAAATCAATTATGTTTTCACACACTCTGTGTTATGTAGTGAACCCAGGCTTTTAGATCCACCACATTATGTTTTTCTTCAGTCATTTAAATCGGATTCGGTAGAAGAAAAACACAAAGACCGTCAAAGATCTACAGACAACCTTCCTGAACCTGAACCTGAACGTGGATGTGTACCTTCACAGGTGTGTTCTCCTACAAACAGTACCTCTGAGAAAACAAAGATAAAGCGACAGAAAAGAAAAGAGGATATGAATCGACATCTTGATTTCAGCCTCAGTTAAATTATCATGGTCTGCTCCATTAAAGATCCATGAGAGTTGTTATTTTTTAGCAAAAGTGAACTCAGAATTTACATTTCGGGGCGACGCAGGGCGGAGGAGCAATAGTTTATGGGGTAAGAAAAGAAAAAGAGAAAGGAGGGTAGCCCATTCCAAGAATCCAGACAAGGTGAACTGTTTTCGTTCAAATCACCATGTCGGAGTTTAAGTCACTCCCCAGCGTTCAATGCCACTTTAATATCAAACTGCTGTCTTTAATCCGAGTATCAGCCTCATTTAGTGAAGGCGGCCACCACGGCCCAAAGCAGCTCATTGGCGTTGGTCTTCATGCTCTCGCCCTCTGGCTCCAGCTCCAGCAGCAGTCTCACTCTCTTCATGGCGAGGTCATACTGGTCGTCTAGCAGCGGGGCGAAGGCGTTCTCCAGCACGTCCGAGGAATGGGCCAGGAAGATGAGTGCCAGCAGACGCTTGTCTATCCGATTGGGATCATTCACCCACTTGTCCAGCACGACCTCCTGGACCCTCTTGATAAGCCGCTGCTTGATGTTGTTGTTGGTCAGAGGATGTGTGGTCATGTCGAAGAGCAGGAAGTTCTGCTTCTCGGTGGTGAGGACGCCTTTTTCCACCAGGTTCTTTGCAAGACGCTCGCGTACGTTCCTCAGCTGGTAGTGAAGCTTCAGAGGGTTCCACGTCTCTCCTGAAAACAAGATAACACCAAAGACGGTTAATGATGTCACTCAAAGGTGACGTGATGTGAAAGATGATTTAAAGATGTGACAAAGACAACAGTCAGAGTGAGGAGAGTGTGTCACTCTTCCCTTAGCTTGCTGAATAGACAAAAGGTGAGTTTCTATTTGATTTTGAAATAAAAGCATTCACAAGAAAGGTCTTTGCTTCTTTGGAGTCACTCACTCAGACATGGTCTCTCTCATGTCTCTTGCAAACATGTGACAGTAATCCGGCAGATTAAATGATTCTGACGCTGCTTGGTCATAAACAAAATTAATCTCAAACAGAGCAGCTTTCTTATTTTTAACATCTCTCAATACAAGCTTGCTTTAAAAATGACAGAAACATGTTTTTTGTCTCATATAAGCTTTGACAATGTTGAACGTGTAAAATACACACACCGGTCATTTAAGAAAATTATGAACCTGCAGCCTACGGTGTGCAAGTCAGACAAAACATCAAAGTGTGCATTTATGGACTGTTTCTGTTTGTGGAGCGCAGGGGGCTTTGTAACAGAGTCTGTTTGTCTACGTTTACAGCAGGCTGTAACGTTACTAACAATATGTTTCTGATTGTTGTAACCCATACCAACCAGCTGATCTCTGCATGATAAATACAGAAACAATCAGATGAAACGGTGTGATAAAAACTTGTATAAAACACAAAATAGGAGCCCGATCTGTTGGAGGGGTGATCCAAACAGATCAGCTGTGATCTGTTTCACCTCTACATTAAGTACCGTATTTTCCGCACTATAAGGCGCACTTAAAAGCCTTTAATTTTCTCAAAAAACGACAGTGCGCCTTATAATCCGGAGCGCCTTATATATGGATCAATTGGTTAATTGGTTGATCCATACTGGTTGTACACGGCGCTCAGCGACACTGACTCGGATAATGACGAGAGGGAGCCGGGCATGTTGGATGCCGTACTCGCCCAACTGTTCAATTCGGACACTGAAGAAGAAGAATTCCTTAGCTGCAGACACGGTGAGAGTGAACGGAGTAAAGTCCAACCGACTGTTTGACCGGGTCACGTGTGTTCCCACCTCGGTCTGTACGGATCACGGATCAACTGTGTGCTGTAGCACTAAAAGTAAAAAGGTTCGCGTGGTGGCTGGCGCTCCAGTGCAAGTGTGTGTGTGTGTGTGTGTGTGTGTGTGTGTGTGTGTGTGTGTGTGTGTGTGTGTGTGTGTGTGTGTGTGTGTGTGTGTGTGTGTGTGTGTGTGTGTGTGTGTGTGTGCTGTTTGTTGGTGTGTCTCGTCCCCCGCGATGCTCACAGTCATGACAGCAGAGAGGAGCAGAGAAAAGTAGCTGCAGCTTCATCAAATGCGCTTAATACTCGTAGCATAGTTTCTATATATGACTTTTTGGTAAAACATTTACCCCCTGGTTTTACCTGCACGTCTTTGTGCATGCCTGCACTCTCTTGCGCGCGCTCTCTCTCTCTCTCTCTCGCTCCCCTGCACTCTCTCTCTTGCGCGCGCTCTCTCTCTCTCGCTCCCCCGCTCGCTCTCTCGCTCGCTCTCTCTCGCTCCCCCGCGCGCGCTCTCTCTCTCTCTCTCTCTCTCGCTCCCCCGCTCGCTCTCTCTCGCTCCCCCGCTCGCTCTCTCGCTCGCTCTCTCGCTCCCCCGCTCGCTCTCTCGCTCCCCCGCTCGCTCCCCCGCTCGCTCTCTCGCTCGCTCTCTCGCTCCCCCGCTCGCTCTCTCGCTCCCCCGCTCGCTCTCTCGCTCGCTCTCTCGCTCCCCCGCTCGCTCCCTCGCTCCCTCGCTCCCCCGCTCGCTCGCTCTCTCGCTCTCTCATGCACGCAGCAATTTCATGAATAAATGAAAAATTAAATACACACAGGTCGGAAGTATACTTGGGCTCCCAACACAGGTATCGTGTGTGGGAAACAGTGCAATGAGATGAAATTGAAATCACTTTTCTATTTTACAATTGTATTTTATATTGACTAAACATCTCGCGATCGACTGAGAATCAGTCAGCGATCTACCTGTCGATCGCGATCGACTGTTTGGGCACCCCTGCACTAACGTTTGAATTAGCGGTATCAGACTGTGTTTCTTTTACGTGTTTACAACTGAACAAGGCTGGGAGATATTGTGAATATGCACATTAACGTTTGAACAACGTTGAGTTATTGTGAATGCACTACGTATAAAACTACGTTTTGAGAGTTAAGAGAAACGTCAAAGAAATAATTTATTATTTGGGGAAATCGTCTTATGTACTTTTGTTTTTGTAGTTTTATATGTTACGTTTTATACGTATTTATATTTATATATTCACAATATCTCCCAGCCTTGTTCAGTTGTAAACACGTTCTATTCTATGCGCCTTATAATCCGGTGCGCCCTATATATGAAAACAGTTCTAAAATAGGCCATTCATTGAAGGTGCGCCTTATAATCCGGTGCGCCTTATAGTGCGGAAAATACGGTAGTTAATTAGTTGCCATTTAATAGTTGTCAAAATCAGATAAGAGGGGTTATGGGGGTCTCATCCAGAAATATTTTTTTTGTTTAAATGCACCAATTTGGATATTTACTGCAGCACTTTATAGTTTTGGTCTAGTTTGAGTCCTCTTTTTGGTCTTTTTCTCTCTATTCTCTTTGAGCATTCATCAGGCACAATTTCAAACAATGATAAATACTTGAATACTTTTACCAACACGTGAACTTTAGAAGTTTTCTGTTTCCGCCCAGCTGGTGAATTTCTATAGCTGTAGCTGTTCACAAGTCACCTATGTATAGTTTATATGTAGTTTAGTACTACTCAATGGATTTCCTTTGGTTTATTTATGCACACACAAGAATCCCATCACTGTTAAACATTGAATTAATGTCATAAACAAGCAACGACTTGTCAAACAATGAAACTAACGACAGCTAGTTAACATAGAAAATGTTTGGTGAGGCAGCAATCGTTTATGTAGCACATCAGACCGTCATCACAATTTTAATCACACATCACAGCTTTCCTCACATCATGGATATATATATGACTAAAATCTATTTTCCTATTCAGGGGAAATACAAAATTGAATGAGTCCAACATGTTTTTAATGCACTGTTATCTTAATTGAAGCTATAAATTCCGGATATTTCGTTGTTGTCTGTAAAGTTGTGACACACTGACACAGAATCCAAAAGCCTGGTGGGTCTGCAGAGTTCAAAATCATAGTATCCTGAAACATCATCACATCAGCTGCTGCTTCACAGGAGGTTTTGGGATGAGATTTATTTTAGCGACACGTGATACTCAGTTTAAAGTTGTGTTAAATAAAGACACGTGATGTTTACTTTAAAGTTTTGTTTGGTTAAAACAGCTTTTGGTTTGGGTCAGTTTCCTTCACAGATCTGCAAAGATAAAACCGCTGTGCGTCTATGGCACGATGAAAACAATGAACTCACCGCTGAGAAGTTCGATCCAGCTCTGCACCGTCTCTGGAGGCTGCGTGTCTTTGATGTGTTTCAGAGCTTCATCCAAGAGGACGTCCCCTGTCGGAGCGTCGGACTTACAGATCACCTGCGGGTTCAATCCAGAAGAAACAAAGTTACAGGGGTTCGAAAAATAACTGCTTTCTTTTCACCCATCACATCGCTCACTTACATTCACATCAGGAGTTGAAACCATTGACAGCTTGTTGAAAACTGTAGGCTTCACATTTAATACATTACTTTTTCGTTTCACCGAGATTAACAGCTTTTAGGACTCATTTTTTTAGTCGGATTCCAAAAGAAACCACAGCAGAAAAACAGGGCACAACAAGATGACGTTATTACATAAGAAACAGTCAAACCCTAAACTGTGAAAACTATGTAAAAAAAAAAAAAAACACAGTTCAATAATACACCGCTCCCAAAAAACATGTTTTCACCTCTTTATGGAAGCTCGAGACATTCCTCCTTTGAGGATCCACCAAAATATCCATCTCAGACACATTTTAAAAGATTTTATTTGTGATGTTTTCACTTATGCTTATGAATATACTAATTACAGGTGCAAAAAGTAGCAACATGAGAACCCGACAACATCAGACGTCATCTTACTGAGGAAGCTGCAACCAGGAATGTTTTTACTTCTTTTGCTTGATTTAAATGGATAACCTGTTATTCATCGGATTCTGCTGTTTTTATTACCTTAATGAAAATAAATCCAACACCACTTTCTCCAAAAGCTAACCCCCTCATTTCACTCTGCACCTTAATGAAGCATGTTAGGATGAAGGATTATGTACCAGTCAAGATATGGGGTGAACAGAGGTTGTTAATAGTTTGTTGAGATAACAACTTTACATTACAACAACACCCGTTATCTATATATTTGCGTTCCTGTTGCCTGCAAAGACATGGACGAGGAACAAGGGGACCCAACAAGGCACTGGGAGAGTCCTACAGGAAAACTTTTGTGATTTTCTTTCTTTTCTCACTTAGCAGAGCTTGTTAGTTTGTTTTAAGTGGAGATAGTGGTGCACTCATAATATCCACATCGGTGATTTTTGTGTTGTGCTTTAACTTTTGTTAACAACAGAGAAAAACTTTAATCGGCTCAGTGCCGCCAAAGGCTCGTCAACACAAAGCACCACACTTCAGTTGCTCCACATTCAAACAAGAGCAACAAATGGCATTCTGTTTGCATTGGGAAGCGAAATTCATAGAGTAGAAAAATGAATATTAAAGGTCCCATATTATGCTTTGTCTGGTTTTATATGCCCTTTAGTGTGTTTTCCAAGTGTCCTGTACATGTTTAGGCACATCATGTGCAAAAATTCAAAGTCCATGGAAACACGGCTTCTCCTACGTCCTCCTGTTAGCTGTAGCATTAGCTGCATGTAATGCTCGGTTCTAGCCCCCCTCGAAAAAAAATTGTCAGTCCGACGTCATTGTCAGTGTGAGATCACTGATCTAAACCCATTGGCTCGTTGCGGCAAGCCCTGCAGCTCATGTTTAAATTTCCAAGACGCGTGCTGAGCAACTGACCAATAACGACAGAGCGGATCGGCAGACCAATCAGAGCAGACTTGGCCCACGTGGGGTCTAACAGTTTGGGCTCAGCAGAGCGTAGCTGACGGACTCAGAGCGGAGAGGGAGCAAGGAGGAGCAGTACATGAAAACAGACACTTTTTTCGGACTTTAGCTATTGTGAACGTACAAAAGTAGGAACATAGATTAAATATATGAACCCCAAAAAGGGCAGAATATGGACTCTTTAAACGGTGTGGACCACGGTGACCGTTGCTGCGCGATATCAGGCGCTAGTGTGCTGTTAAGAAAGGCGGTTACATTGTTAGTCTCAGTGTCTGACAACATAAGAGAGACGACCACAACAGAGATAGACCTTTTCGTTAAAGAGAAAGATGATTTTTAACCATAAACAGCAGTTACATCACTCTTTACAAACATACCAGACTACCTTGATAAAAACAAGAAGTTGACCTCACAGAATAGAGTAGCTGCTGGTCCACTGCTGGCTTAAGTGTTGTTTGTTTTTATGTCTATCACAAATAGTGTTGTATACAAACTGACCATTTAAAGCCTCAAAGACACAAAACAACAACAAACAAGCAGCCGTGAACCAGACACTTTTGTGTTGTGAGGTTAAATTGTCGTTTTATTTGACAGAGTCTGGCTAGCTTAAAAAATTCAGAATTTTATAAAAGGGAAATGGCAAAAAACAAGAAGAGAAAAGAAGGTAAGAAAGGAAAAACAAAATAATTATTAATGCAGTAAAATCAGAGAGATGTGTCCCACCTTCCTAGCCAGCAGACCTTTCCTCCTCATGCCACAGGCCTCCAGCTGCAGGCGTCCTCTCAGGGCCAGTTCAATCAGCATGCAGCCGCGCAGCCCGGAGGAAATGCAGTCGTTCCAGAAGGAGGTGTAACCCTACAGCATGGAAACACACATCACAACACTGGTTTTTCAAAAACAGTTGGCACTGAAGATCAGGATTTGCTAACAAGAGATCTCACTGGACCAAGAATGCAAAAAACGAGGAAACAAGGAGAACTCAAGTGAGGCCCGAGGAATCAACTTAAATCAAACAGGTCAATAGAAATCAAACTTACAGGTACTTTCAGGCACAAATATTTGAATCCACTAGAAAAACTTGGCATCAAATGAGTTCTCACTGGTTCAAACATTTCAGCTGACACTACAGTCTTACAACTTTTGTAAAGTGTGTGCGTCCATGCGTGTATCACACACACATAAATATGTGTGTGTGCTTTTGTGTGTGTGTGTGTGCTCTTATAGATGTATGCAGATTGAATATATATATATATATATAGAAAATAATATAATATATACTATATATTTAGTCAAACCACCTAGTCTATCACTGATGCAGGGAAAAGGACAGGAGCACACCACACTGTCGGTCCACACTTTAACATCCAGCTTTGACGTTTATATAACACCTAGCTGTGCAATCTGTCAGTTTGGAAATTAAGTGATAGCTATCAAGTTATTTAATTAAACTTAACATGGATAATTAATCTATCCTGGCTCAGATCAAACGGTGTCTCATCACCTCACTGAGTCAGTCCGCAGGTCGAGCTACACTTGCAGCTCGATTAAGAGAAGTCCATCAGGGATGATTGAGACATGTTTTTATTTCATTCTTTAACATCATGAATAAATGCTGAATCTAACATGTGTTTACACAATAGATTTCCTGTCACCAATGCCTTATTACTTCCACAGAGAATCAATGTGTAAAAATAAAAGCCAGTTATGAGTACCTGGGCGCATCGGTACTCTTTCATTAAGGCTATAACTATCTAACAATAACAGAGAGAAGTCGGAGGTCAACAGGAGAAACCCATACCTGTCTGAACAGAACACATGCTGAAAAATGTTTTATAAAATATCATAAGTTTCATCCTACTTTGGATGTTGAAGGTCAAGGTAAAATTGTGATAAGATGTCTTGTAGAAACCAACTTTATGCACATGCATATTAAATACAATTATGGGAAGAAACCATAAGTAATAGAAGACTAAACAAGGAGTCACATTTTGGTCTTAGTCTCGAGTTGAACAATTGAATAGAGTTGTAACAATACCAGAATTTTAGACCGCGATAAGATTCTTGTGTAAGTGATACTGAGACCTACTTTGATACCATGGCAACAAATACAAATACTAGACACCCGATATTGGGTCATATTTTGTTTTGTATTACCCAAAAATTAAAACTGCACTCCTACACACTGTCAAAATTGCATAAAAACAACAACATACAAACAACTATGCCATTGTTTTTGTGCAATTCATAGTACCCACATCTTAGTGGTCAAGAATCAGTGCAGTTAAATTTAGGGTGAAAGATTTGGATGTATGCATCGCACATTGCACTGGTGAAATGTTCAGTTTAGTCTGAGTAAAAAACATCAAAAGACTATTTTAGTATTTAATAAGTGAGCATACAATCTTTATCTCCAAAACAACCTGAACTATCAGTATATGATGTTAAAGACAATTAGAATAAATCATTTTTACATTTAGCAAAAAATGAAGAATGCATATAATAAATGTATAATTAAAATACTGAGTTTTTCTTCTGGAGCTTGGATAAACCTTCAGGATGGTTTAGTAATTTGAGATTTAAAGTAATGTATGTGTGTACTTCTGACTCTCTTTCAAAATAATGGGAATTAGTTTTAGTTGGTTTGACAAGTAAAACACAATACATGTATAAATATAATCATTTTAGCCTATAAGGACTTATTGTAACCCTGTCAGTAAGTTACAGCCCGTCATTATTCATCGTTCCTGTAAACCTGTATTTAACCTACAGACGGCTACAGATCATTAACATCTGTGTGATTATTTTACGAGTTCAGCTACTTTTCTCCTCTAATGATTAACACAACGACAACTATCCGTTACCAGACCAAACATGGGCTAAGTACCCGACATTCACTGCTGATTAAATGTAAAATATCTGTCCATAATATGAAGATAAAGGACCATTATTATTGTTAGCTACTGCGTTAGCTCGCTAGCTTTAAAGCTAACACGGATGCTATGTTTGTTAAGCAAACAGAGCTAGCTAGCGTTAGCTTTTTTTAACGTCATTGTTTATCTTTATTTACAGAGTTATTAATCGGCTGTTTCTGATATCACCTCTCGGTCCTTCAGTCCCAGCAGAAGCACTTCTTCCATTAGGGTGAGACGGGTTTCTTTGGAGTCTCCGGTGTCGTCGTCGTCCTGCTCGTCTCCCGCCGGTTCTCGTCCTCCTCCTGACCGGACGGACGGTCCTTGTCAGCGGCTAGGCGTGAGGCTTCAGTCCGCCTCTGCACCAGGCCTGAGCTCCGCTGATTGAGGGAAGTCATGTCTGCCGGCGAGTCAGCTCAACAACGACGGAAACAACCCGCCTCGGACCGAACAGCCGGGATGTCTTACCGTGTTACAGGTCGGACACCATACAGCATGTGCCCTAAAGTGTGGTTCAGTACGGAGGGCTGTGCTCACTTGTCACCCGGATTACTGCTCCTTCTCCTAGGCTCTGTCCTCAGCCATGTACCGCTGGATAATGTCTGTCTAATATGGCGCCGTGTGGAGAGTGTGATACCGAACTTATCCAGCAGGTAGAAGCCGAGATAACCTGCAGAGACCACGGACTGTGTATGCTGCAGACTGAGAAACTTAGAACAGGACTACTGCCACATCAGCACATCTCATAAGCACAAACTCCAGCCACACTGTTATGATGAAGCTCTTTTAATCAGCATTATGCTATTTTGTATTGAATACCTCTCTAATACCCTATTTATGAGTAGTTCTTTTTCAGCCATCAAACATAATACACTAATTTTAAACAATATAGACAGTTAAAACAAAGTCAACAGAGATGTATTAAAGAAGTAAACTGCTTATAAAAAGCCTATTCTACATTATTATCCAATACCAGCTTCCAAAGAACAAAGAAAAACAACAACAGATAAATCATTCATCTGTAAGCCTCAAAAATAGCTTTACCAAGCTTCTTTTTTTGTTTAAATCAAAAGTGAATTACAGGGTTGCATTTTATATTGGCATCATTCTTTAAGTTAACCCTAACAACTGAAACACATCTCATTTCAGTTAATTTTTTTTGCCAAGTTTGTACAATAATAAACTCACAAACACCTCTTAAATCACATTTTCTCTCCTGAATTGAAAATAACTTTTGGATAGAGTCTGGATTTGACTTTGCCCTAAAATGAGAATTAGAAAAAGTGAATTTGTGTGTGTGTACTTAATAGATTTTCTTGTAAATAATCCTTTTCTCTCTGTCCACTTACCCTGGCACTGCACATAAATACTTTAATACTTCGACCTTCATTCAGCCACCAAACTGTTTATTATCTACTCACTCATCATTTACTCAGATGTACATAACTACTAATATATTTGTAAATATATGTGAACATATTTTGCAAACGCTGCTGTACAGGATTCCTGCAAACAAAGTTTTGTTGTGTTTTTATACAATGACAATAAAGCCAATCTATGACAATCTATTATTGTCTATTATTGTCCAAAGTGTCACAAGAAGACTTAAAGCGTCACCCTCCTCTGAAACAACGTTGGCCCATTTCTCACACGTCTTTGCAAAGATTTCTCCTTCACGTCTTAAAGAGAAAGTTATTTTACTATTCCCATACATTCCCAGAGGTTTGGGGGTTCAGGTTTATACCATTTCCTAATGTAATTGTTTTTCTTTTTTTGGGGGGGGGGGGGGGGTTTGCAAGCGGTAAACAGTCAACACAGATGCCAGTTCATGACAACATCCTCTCATTAAAGTAAGATACAGGGCCTTTACATCATCAGGGACTCCATGACCCAAAATCTATAAGATTAAAAAAAAGACTGAGAATCTATTTTACAGTCTTTAACTATTGAACTCAACAAACCGTGATTTACTTTATGTACGATCATAAAGAACAAATGCTGAAAAAAGCTACATTAAAACAACACAGGCACTAATTAGTAGATAAGGTATTCACAATATCAGAGTTTTAAACTTTGATATGATTCTAGTAAAAATCTAGCCAAATTGATACCTGATTGGATACCATGGCAACACAAACAGAGGTCCTAGACATCCAATATTGGATAATTTGTTGTTTTTAAATATCACAAATTGCAAACAAACTTCTTCACATGTTCTAAATTGCTCAAAAACATTTTATGTTTAGTCAATTTGTCATGGATTAATTCTTCTCCCATACAACTGTCTTCTGATTTAGTTTTTAAAAGCTTCATTACTTTTCAATACTTTATCTATCATTGAAATAACAGAGATTTTATGGTTCTAAAACAAGTGGTATTGACAAAGTGTTGAACATTTTGACAACCTTAATGCTGATTCATGTAATAAGTTACAGTATAAAAATGATGGCTCACATGTCGATGATGTTTCAGTGTGTTGTGTTCAGGATATCCTCTCTATTGTTGTATTGTTTTCAGAGGAAGAATCCTTCATGTGGTCCTGTGATGTAATCTGTGCAGTCATCCAGAGTGGGAGTTCACTTTTTGTCCACTAGGTGACAGCTCTGTTCACTCTCCTACTGTACTACTATCCATATCATGGAGAAGAGTACACTGTGTCTCTGTGTTGTGTTGGCAATGATTCAGATTTAAGACTTACAGGTATCTCACCTGTAAAAATGTTCTTCATTTGAGAGAAGTTTCACATATTTACTGATCAACAGACTCATCCTTCACCATAATCTCTGCAGAATGATGGAGACAAACAGAAAAATAATTGGATATGAAAATGTACATCTGCACTGTCTCCGTAGTTTTGTCTCTTTAAATTTCAGTCTGTGGTATTTTAAAACCTAGAGTACGGTAGTTCCCACTGGTCCTGAACGTTGCACCATGTCCTGGACGTGGGCGGGGATAGAAATCCTAGATGTGGGCGGAGCTACAAGACCACTTGGATGGGAGGAAGTGATGGTTCGGAGGCGGAGTCGTACACAAAAAATAGCCTCCTCACCAAACTGTGGACATGTAGGCTCCGCCCTCCGGCCGCAGACAGACTCCGAATGAAAGCCCATCACAAAGTCTGTGACCGCGATACCTGCGGACAAACACACACACACGCACACACACACTAATGACTGTAAATCAACACTTTATCCGCTTCTGTGATCAGTTTCCCTGCGCTGGATTTCTCCTGGATAGAGTTTAAAAGTCTGGACACACTTTTTTTTCTCTCTCCAGGCTGCAGCTCTGCTCTACTTCATTCCCGCACGGATTTAACCACTAAGACGCTTTAATAAACTGTGGATGTGTGATTGTCGGAGGAATAACTAACCTCAGTATCTAATTCAAATTTTAAAAAAACCTGGAAAACATGGGAGTATTTTGATGTTTTGACCTGGAATCGGGAGCCTTGGAGCTGCAGGACCATGTAGCTCAGAGGTACGTCTGCTCTGCTTTTTACTTTAATGACATTTGGGAATATGAAATTACAGTCACTTTACATTGGCCTACACAGACTATGTTCATATCAAATATCCTATAATGTTGGCAGATAGAGGTGGATATATTATTAGGATGCAGTTTAATTACAGTCATGACGACAACAGCTCTGACCCAAAACAAGAAGTCTGCTCGGTTTCGTTCGGCTTGTAGCCTACAACTGAAATTACTTTTTCAAATCAGAAATTTGTCTGATTTTTTGCCACCATAACAGCCAAATCGTGTTATGAACTCCAACCTTGCCTTGCTTTTTTTAGCTCCATTCTTGTGTTTTCCTCCCCCTCCTGATATAGCCTACATTAATCCTACACTGGCTCTAAGCGATATTTTCTGCTTTTATGTGATTTTTTTTTTTTTTTTGTACTTTTAATCCTATTATTGCATTGAGAATGTAACAAGAGGAACAAAAAAAAAGGTTAAACAAGGCATCTCAAAACATCATGAATAAACCCACTCAAACTAAAGGTGTTGTGTGCAGTTTGGACATGATTTTTTTGATGATCAAAACTGTTGAGTTAGAAATTATAAAGTAGAAAGTAGATCAGATCTGCACCTGTATTTCTGTCAGACTGTTGTGACTCTGTCAGGACTAAAATGATCTGAACTTCTCTCTGTAGAAAACCTCTCTCTCTGCAGTCACAGTTTCTCTCACATGCTCTTTTGGCTGCAGCTTCAACATGACTTCACTTTGAAATAATGTGATAGCTTTTACATGTAGCTGCAGCCTCCCAACAGACACCAGCGGTATTTAGTTTAACACAGAGACTATAGAGGCTGTAGTCCTTGTCACAGCGACCATGGGTTCTAATCCAACCTCAGCCCTTTGCTCCTCGTCACCCCCCCCCCTCTCCTCCCTACATTTCCTGTCTCTCTTCAGCTGTCCTAATAAATGCAACTATCACAGTTTTATACAGACATACGGGTCTGCAGTCTGAGTAAAGGAAATTATATTTGCCTTCATCATTTGTTGATTCTCTAAAAAACAATATTGAAATAGTCTTTCGCACTTAATCATCATTTAGTACTACTTTAGTACATAAAGTACTACACTGACATAGTACTTTCACTTTTGCGAGAAACTCCTGAAAAACTCCTGAAAAACTCCTGAAGTCTTCAGGGTGAGCTGCATGTGTAAACACAAACAGACTTCAAGTTTCTCCCTGCCAGCCCCCTATAGTCATTTTTGCGCAGAAAGTCCGAGTGAGCTGATGTGAGAACGCAGAAGGATGTTATGAAGAGAATTAACCTTGAGTGAGTGGGTGCTGATTTTTATTCCCTGCAATCAGTGCAAACCGACTGTCAGCACGCAACCGGTACGAGTTCTGTGCATGTAAACTGCTGCATTATCTTTTCTGTTCACCAGTACGTTCTGCTCCACTCTTTGATATTGTGATTCCGTTGAACTGTATACATGTAGCATTAATATAAAGGCAAATATTCCCATCATGGCTTGGATAGCGCAGGGGGACCAGAGACTTGGGACCACCTCTGTCCCTGGAGGTGGCTAAGGCATACAACAGAATACAATCTAAAAAACATACGTTTATTGTAAACACTAATTTATTATAAGAAAGGCTAGAAGCAGATTACAAGTAATTAAGACGTTAGCATTGAGTGGTCAAAACTCCCTCTTGGTGGCTCGTGCCCCCTGGGGGGTCCCGACACCCGCTATGGGAATCACTGGTATAGTGGACTTTGTCTCTTCATCCACTATTTCCACGTCTTTCTTTTTACTTCAAGTCTTGCATCAGGAAACCCTTCACCCCCTTCCTGTCTGACAGAGTTAGCCCCCCGCTGTGAGGTGCATATGTGAACAACCAGGTCGGGAGGATTTCAGGGGCAGTCCTCCTGAAATTCTCTGGAAATTTGTAGGAGTGCATGTGTGAAAACGGCTTAAGAGAATCAGTGTTAAAAAGCAACACTTACATCCTCACTGAGTTGGATGAAAGTTTCTCTGTTTAACTCAGGTTTGGTCTCCACCAGCTCGTGAGAGAAAAGTCTCTTTAAAAGCTCCACGGTGTTCTCTGCTCTCTCCCTGTGTCTGTCTGTCTGCAGGACAGGTACATTCATAATACAAGAGATTCATAAGAGATGTTTCACTCAAAGCAGATGATGTTGCTGCTGGACTTAAAGCCCGTCAGAGCAGAATGTGTTGTCTGTGAAACCAAATCGATGAACTAAAACAGGCTGAAAACTTCTGTAGGGCTGCAGACACTTTTTAATCAGTGTTGATGACAAAAAGCAAACAGTGCATGCTGAGGCAGCTACAGAATCATCCCAAAAACACACAAAAGTGAGAAGTTCTTCACAATTAAAAAGAAAATGTAAAATTCTCTGTTAGACACAACGTTTTATGATTTGTGTGGAACAGCACTGAATGGGTTTCCAGGATCTGGTAGGTCTATCCTTGTGTGCGTGTGTCAGTGTGTGTGTGTGTTATAGAAATGGAAAGGCTGGGAGCAGAGTGTAGATATTAAACATCTGCTTCATGTTGAGTTCTGCTAAAATCTTTAGCTGTCCAGATCAGAGCGGGCCACAAAGGCTCGGCTGCGTTAAAGGAAAAATTCACATTTTTTTCTTGTTGATCTTAAAATGCCCTTCAGGAGACGATATGATACAACATTAAATTAGTTTTGAAATCTGGAAAGTTTGAGAAAAGTTGCTTAATTTCAACTGTTGTGTTTTTGGGATGAAGTGCACAGTATGGGGTTAAGTATGATTATTGTGACAGATGTTGTGACATGAGTCCAGAAAATTGTCTTTTTTACAGCACAGTTTTTACTTTCACAAAAAATAAATTGTTTATTGACTATCTTCTTTTTTTTTACATCTGTAAATTAGATTTGTAGTCCAGCTCATCTCTGCAGCAGCTCTGTGACTCATTATTCTGCTGTTTAGTCACATTGACCATTCTTGAACAAACAGCTGCAGCCTCTGGATGTTACACTGGTCCGCATTAGAACTTAGCTGTTGTTTTAATCAAATGTTTGCAGAGACGAAGGTCTGCAGCTGGTGACATGAGTGCAAAGGAATTCTATAAATATTTGTGGTTATTTAAGATGAAGACATTTATTGTCTGAAAGTTTAGGTTTAAACTGACATTTATTCTTAAAGAGCTGCGTGCATCCCGGGTTTTGCTTCCTGTTGTCTTCCCTCCTGTAGATATTATCACATGATTCCTGATCCTCACACCAGGGTGGCTGATTTACTACCTGGCATGCTCCTGATTAATGTCCAGTCAAATGAAAATTAATTAAACCAAATGCAACTGTGTGTTGTTAAATAACAAAAAGATGACCTTAGATTCATCAGGATACCAGATTATAAAACTTTGATGAAAGTCAGAAATTAAATCATCTTAAAAACGGCATAAATGGTTTTTTTTAAGATCATAGTTATTCTTAAGAAGTTAGCTATGATAACGATTGATTGTCTCTATGAGCATGCATTTACTTTACAATTTCTTCTACGTGTGCGTCGTGAACAGTAGTGTTGGCTCGTTTCAACATCCGTTATAGCTGTTTCCTGTTTGCATTTGTCTGCCCGGTATAGTGGTTGTGTTTAGCGTTTTTGCAAAGCATTTTGGATTTTGCAATCTGTCTGACACCTCCCAGCCACGCTGTGACTGTGGAAAGTTCCCTTATATTTGAGTAATTCAGACCACTGAAACTTAATGTTGAGTCAAATGAAACTGTCTTCAGCTCAGAATGAGTTCTGTTTGTTTTGTATAAGTCACATAAAGAGAAATCATCCTGAACGACATGAAGAGGAGGAGAATGATTATAACAAACACAAAGTGACTCAGTTTACATGTGGGTATGTCAGTGTTGTTTTCAGACTTACAGAAATGTTCCTCTATCCTTTAAATCTGAGACGTTTCAGGAGACATTCATTCAGCAGCAGCAGCAGGCTCACAGGGAGGGACACTGATCACTTCAGTCAGTCAGAAAAACATGTTTCTACAAGTTCATTCTTGAAGGGGAGTGATGTCTGAGCAGATCAGAAAGCAAAACAAGACGCGCACGCAAAGAAGCTCCCGTCTGAAGGATTTATTAAGGGATGTTTTGAGCCAACATGCTCTTCCTCAGACTTCAGCTGAGTAGACATAAACATCAACCTCTCATCTTTAAACCTCAAATCATATTTTATACATTCAGATCAGTTATTTTCAAATGCTCTGTTGTCTTCATAACAGAATTACAGCCCGACCGATTCACCGCCCAGACAATAATATCGGCCGATATTGGCGGTACCGATATCGTCTGATTTTATCGCAGATATGTGCCGACATTACTAGATTCATTCTCCAGTGAAATAGCATTCCATTTGTATTGCCAACAAGGTACCCCGTGCACAGCCTGTACGTTCTCAGGTGTGCTTGGTAACAAGAACATACCATGAAAAATAAATACAGTATCCGTGGCACACTAAAAATAGCTTTACTGTATTTTATTGTGAGCTAACGCGTTTCACCTGTAGCTTCCTCAGGTCCCCCCAGCACAATCACAGGGCATACACAGGTGTGTTAAATACAAATGGTCACATGACCAATCATCACATTAAACTGTAGACTGTAAATATTACTTGACGAAGCCTGAGTGACGTCACCGTCTAAATCTAACTTTTACATTCAAACAGCTCGTTATTTTCAGCTTTGAGAAAAAGTACTGTATTCTCAAAATGCCTAGAATATCTTCATCTTCTGATTTGTTTTCAGTCTATCCTCTTAAAGACAAAAAAGGAATAAAACAATCCCCCTCCTCATGTTTTGCCTCTTGCCTGTCTCTAACATGCAGCCACTGTTCTTGTTCCTTCACATTGCCTTGTTGTGTATTCAGGCTACATGTTAATAGAAAAGCTGATATCTTTAAGCCTCACAAAGTGTTTAGAAATGATTGTACTCAGACTAAACATGATCAGATTCTGTAATCACTTCTCTC